GAATCAGCGAAACCCATTGGACCCAAGCTGGACAACAAAGGCTAAATACGGGAAAGATGCTGTTATACTCCGGCCACGAAGAGGAAAATGCTCCACACACTCAGGGAGTTGCTCTAATGCTATCCAATGTAGCACGAAATGCACTTGTAGGATGGGAATCTCACGGATCCAGAATCATCAAAGCATCATTCAAAACAAAGAAGGAGGGTATCACAATGAACATTATCCAATGTTATGCACCTACCAATGATAGCAACGACGACGTTAAGGATCAATTCTATGAGAGGCTGCAATCAATCATAGAGAAGTGCCCAAGAAAGGACCTCACCATTCTGATGGGAGATCTAAACGCCAAAGTCGGAATAGACAACACCGGATATGAAGACATCATGGGACTGCATGGACTGGGAGAGAGAAACGAAAACGGGGAAAGATTTGCAAATCTGTGTGCATTCAATAAATTGGTCATAGGCGGTACAATATTTCCACATAAACGTATACACAAAGCTACATGGATCTCACCGGACCACACCACAGAGAACCAGATAGATCATATTCGCATCAATAAAAAGTTTCGAAGGACAATGGAAGATGTGAGAACCAGGAGAGGAGCGGACATAGCTTCAGATCATCACCTAGTTGTGGCCAAATTGAAACTGAAGCTAAAGAAGAACTGGACAACTGGACAAACAGCACCACAAAGGTTCAATACAGCCTTCCTTCGAGATACTGACAAACTCAATGAATTCAAGGTAGCTCTCAACAACAGGTTCCAAGCCTTACAGGATCTACTGAACGAAGAAGAAACTACTATGGAGGATAGCTGGAAAGGTATCAAAGAAACATTAACTTCAACGTTTCAAGAGGTTCTGGGCCCCAAGAAACATCATCACAAGGAATGGATCTCTACAGAAACACTGGACAGGATCAAAGAAAGAAAGAACAAGAAGACAGCAATTAACAACAGTCGAACAAGAGCAGAGAAAGTTCAAGCACAAGTAGAGTACATAGAAGCAAACAAGAAAGTGAAGAAGAGCATTAGAGCTGATAAGCAAAAATACGTGGAAGAACTAGCAACGACGGCGGAAAAAGCTGCAAGAGAAGGAAATATGAGACAGCTTTACGATACGACGAAGAAGCTAGCAGGGAAATACAGTAAACCAGAGAGACCAGTCAAAGACAAAGAAGGAAGACCAATCACTGAGATTCAACAACAGCGCAACAGATGGGCAGAGTACTTCGAGGAACTCCTGAACAGGCCGGCTCCAATGAATCCGCCGGACATCAAAGCAGCACACACAGATCTTCCTATAAATGTCAATCCACCAACGACAGAAGAAATCAGAATGGCCATCAGACAAATCAAGAGCGGGAAAGCAGCAGGACCTGATAATATACCAGCTGAAGCGTTGAAGTCAGACATCGAAGTAACTACAAGCATGCTTCATCTTCTATTCAAGAAGATTTGGGAGGAGGAACAAGTGCCGATGGATCGGAAAGAAGGACACCTCATCAAGATTCCAAAGAAAGGAGATCTGAGCAAGTGTGAAAACTACAGAGGCATTACACTACTGTCAATACCGGGTAAAGTCTTCAACAGAGTGTTACTGAACAGGATGAAAGACGCAGTTGACGCTCAACTTCGAGATCAACAAGCTGGATTCCGTAAGGATCGGTCGTGCACAGACTAGATTGCGACACTACGGATCATCGTCGAACAATCAATTGAGTGGAACTCGTCACTCTACATCAACTTCATTGATCATGAGAAGGCATTTGACAGTGTAGATAGGAGGACGTTATGGAAACTTCTTCGACACTACGGAGTTCCTGAGAAGATTGTCAACATTATCCGGAACTCATACGACGGACTACAGTGCAAAGTAGTGCACGGAGGACAGCTGACAGACGCATTCCAAGTAAGGACCGGAGTAAGACAAGGCTGTCTACTCTCTCCCTTCCTGTTTCTTCTGGTGGTCGACTGGATTATGAAGACCTCGACATCTGAGAGAAACTACGGCATACGATGGACAGCTCAGAACCAATTAGACGACTTGGACTTCGCAGATGACCTAGCCCTCCTATCACATACACACGAACAAATGCAGATAAAGACAGCCAGCATAGCAGCAGTCTCTGCATCAGTAGGCCTCAACATACACAAAGGGAAAACCAAGGTCCTCAAACACAACACGGAGAACAGAAATTCAATCACTCTTGATGGCGAAACTCTGGAAGACGTGGAATCCTTCACATACCTGGGAAGCATCGTCGATGAACAAGGAGGTTCAGATGCATACGTCAAGGCAAGGATTGGCAAAGCTAGAGCGGCATTCCTTCAACTGAAGAACATATGGAACTCAAAACAACTTTCAACCAATATCAAAGTCAGAATCTTCAATACGAACGTCAAGGCAGTTCTACTGTACGGAGCTGAAACTTGGAGAACTACAACAAACACCATCAAGAAGGTACAGGTATTTATTAATAGCTGTCTACGCATGATACTCAACATCCATTGGCCGGATACCATCAGCAACAGTCTTGTGTGGGAGAGAACCAACCAGCTTCCAGCTGAAGAGGAAATTAGGAAAAGACGATGGAAATGGATAGGACATACATTGAGGAAATCATCAAACTGCATTACGAGACAAGCGCTAACTTGGAATCCTGAAGGGAAGCGGAAAAGAGGAAGGCCAAAGAACACATTACGTTGGGAAATAGAAGCAGATATGAAAAAGATGAATAAGAAATGGAAAGAGCTTGAAAGGATTGCCCAGGACAGGGTTGGATGGAGAATGCTGGTGAGCGGCCTATGCTCCTTCACGAGGAGTAACAGGCGTAAGTAAGTAAGTAAACTGAAATTCTGGGAGTTACCTAGTGGTAACGACAAAAGACGAACGATCATCAGATGGGAATGATTGATGCTCAGAACAAATTCAAAATGATGTAGTAATGAGATAGAATAACTACTTTTCTTAATTTGTAAACGAAGAGAATTTGTGTGATAAAGAGGCACATTGAAGATCTAAATTTTATGACTTTCTGCTAGAAAAATTGCTTAACTTTGATAATGATTACTAATTTCCAGATATGAATATTTTGTAAGGTTTGGATGCAACCACAATTAACTCTCTTCCCGAATGAAACATTACAGTGGATAGTATATGGTCATTCACTACAGACGTCCCAAATAACATGTTCAATACTTTATCAATGATATTTCAGTAGTTGCTTGGTCTGACTCCGATTTAGATGAACGTATGAGTATATTAAGAACATTAATTTTCCGTCTAACTCCGTATACTACCTAGGCTTAATGTCGTTTGTGTAATGGCGTTAATAAAAAGCAAATAAGGATTGAGTTGGGTGAATTTATTTCAGGCACTCGTTTATTCCGGCAGACATTAAGAATGAGAAGCGCGAAAGCGAAGTGGAGCAAATAAGTGAGCCAACTTGTTTCGACCAAGCGTAACTTAATATGTGAATGAAGAAACTGGTCTGTCCGGAAGCTAGAACAAGCCATGTAGGCTTCACATAATAATAGACACTACAATTTGAGATCTGATTACGACTTCATATCACAAACCAGTATTTCTCACTTGTCCATTGCACACCTATACACAGGTTACCACAGGAATACATATTTTCCCAAACTGTACATTTGCATATTCATCAAGCATATTTGGAGACTGGTGCAAAGTAAAGAAACCAATCGGCGTCTGTACATGTTGACTACAATAATTATTAGGCACATAAACATAGGACTAATAGGTTTCTCTGATATTTGCAGATATTTCATTAGTTGCTGATCCACCAATTCTTAAAAAACAATACTATAGCCTCATATGATCATATAAAAATCATAATTTTCTTCTACAGTATAGAATGGTAAAGTATGTATTCATTTCAATCAATATACTTTAATTTTAATGGTTGACGTCATGAGTCAATTGAAGCTAGACCACCATGGAAAACCAGGAAGCACTAGACGGCCGTTTTGTCCTATTGTGGGACTCCTCAACAGTGCACATCCACCATCCCAACTCGCGGGATTCGAACCTAGGACCTATCAGCGTTGCACGTGAACGCTTAACCTCACTAGTAACTAGCTTCGAGATGAATTTCCTGGAGTTTTAATGAGAAGCATTGACCAGTGGAGTTTAACCGGTTTTGTTGTAAGATAGTAACTTACTGAAGATGATGGTGGATGTTGGTGCAATTTCGTGGATTAATTGAAGTTACACATTAACACCGTTGGATTTCGACCGAGTGACTCAATGGTCTAGTAGTTAAGCGTTCGCATGTGAGACTGATAGAGTCTTGTTTCGAATCTTGTACATAAGATGAGATCGTGGATGTGCACTACTGAAGAGTTTGACAATCGGATGAAACGACCGTTCAATGTTTCCAAGTTTTCTATGGTTATCTATTTCAACTATATTGAAATGACTAATAATAATGATGTATCCACAAAACCCCTTCTGATACGATATTGTCAGAGAAGTTTAATAAAAAGAAAATGTATTAAAATAATAAAAAACAAACCTAAATGATATTTACATTAAAATCATAAATGCCTTTTTTTTATTAAAATCAAATAACTAGAATTATACAAAACTATTCCACTATTCTGTGTTCATTATTTCAATGATAAATTATATTGAAAACTATTAGTTGGTATTGAAGAAAATAAAAGAAGAAGAAGAAGAAGAAGAAGAAGAGGAAGAAGCAGAAGAAGAAGAAGAAGAGGAAGAAGAAGAAGAAGAAGAGGAAGAAGAAGAAGAAGAAGAGGAAGAAGAGGAAGAAGAAGAGGAAGAAGAAGAAGAAGAAGAAGAAGAAAACAAAAACAAACTAACTGTTGTCCATTCGAATATTGATAATAATAATATTAATAATAAACAATAGTGATTGTTCAATGTTGAATGAAATGCAAAAGATTGTTTAGTTCATGATCCATTTATCTATCTGACCAATTGTCACTTAACGTTGAACTATTCTTATTTACTATAGAAATAAATCAAGTATTATTATTAAAAGGAGATAATATTGTATATGGTATATTGAATAGAAAAAAATAGTGCAATAGTAAGGATGGTAAATCAATTAATGACGGTAGTGAAACTTGATCAGTTGAGATGGCTAGGATATGTGTTATGTATTCCTAACCACCGATTGATCCGACGTGCAATGGTTTATGGTGTAGGAGTAGATTGGAAGAAGAAAGCTAGGGGTGGCCAGATCAAAACATGGCACAAATTCATTAAGTCACTGACAAGTGAACTGAGTCATGTTGGTATGTGTAAACTACATGGTTGGGGACCGCGAAATGATAGCAACTGGTGATTAGAGACCTTGAATGACATAGCTCAAAATCGTTAGCAATGGTGCAAATACATACACTCTTTGTGTTCTCACAAATTTTAATCTTCTCAATGCTTCATGCCCCTTTTTTCCTCTGTTCAAAATGATTTCACTGTATTATACTCCTTGAATAACATCTTTAGACCCTAATGTTTTCGATTACTGCTTATACTTTTACTACCTCTACCATTATGGGATTTAAATCGACAATTGTATCTTTGTGCTAATGTGGTATGGTAACTCGAATTGATGTACGTACGTACGAAGTTCCACGTCGTTACTAAATGACTGACTGACTGCAATGGTAAATGTTCACTTCGTGTTGTTTACTTGTATCTTCCCATTGTCATTTAGGATTGCAACTGATCAGTCTGTTGTTGGCGTATGAGCATCCTTTGAGGACTGCCCTCGATATTACATTAGATCACTAACTTTATAAGTTAAGATGGATAGTGGTTAGCAGTGGAATCCAGCATGAGGGTTTCATTCTATTTAGAAGTCATCAGATGGATGATGTACCTGTATCCCAGAGTCAATATCAACTCTGAGATGCAGGTACATTCAGATGATGAGTCCTAAATAGAATGAAACGCGCTTCCTCAGTTCACATTTTTGTCTAGAAATTTTGGCTATACCAAACTAGACAAAATTATTAACACACTAATTTATTTGGTAGGGTTAGTTGCGGTGATTTCCTGTTGATTACATTAAATGATGTAATAAAAAAAAACAATGTACAGTCTTCAATCGATCAAACTTTTGACCATAATGTAACTCGGTCGATTGAACTCAATCATCACTAACATTTAGATAAACGTCCTTATTGTTACTATCAAATAATTAATCAATGAATATATCTCAATAAGACAAAGCATCAGTCAATAACGGAATAGGCGATTAGCTAAATGTTTGATTGTGATATTAAGCAACAAGTGTGTTCATACAATAAGCACCAGTTGTCCCAAGATTGAAAATACACTTTTCAGATGAGTGTAAACTATTACGAAGTGTTGTTTTAGAGCGATCTATCGATTGTTTGATGTTTGCTAATTTGCACAAACTTTGTTTCATGATAGTTGTCCATCTGTTAATAATGTAATCAATTGATCAGGCTGTATATCAATATTGATTGAAGTGATTATAAAGTATCCTACCTAACATCTATCTAAACATGCAATGCTGGATGGAATATAAATTGTTTAAAAACAATCTGATGTTATCTATGGAGTGATATACTATTAGCCCTTGAAGTCATTGACTATTCAACTCTCCTCAATAGTTCCCTCAATAGAGTCGTAATCTGTATCAATTTGAGATTCTGGATTATAAAATGGTCTAACACCAATGAAAATGGGGTAGCTGAATTCTTTCCATATATATTTCTAACTCTGAAGGTAATTATCATGCAGAACTTTCCATTTTTTCATTTAACTTCTCTCGTATTATAAAAAGGTTTAGCGTTTAGTTCATCAGTCCCTCTTGACACCTATTTCCCGAAATCTGGTGAGACTATAATTTATGAACAAACCAATCAGGTTTGAGATAACAGGTCTCGGATTTTGGCGCAAAATTCACTCATCCATTTGGAGGAAGCGTTAAAAGTGGATAAGACACGCATTGAGGAAACCAGCCAACTGCGTCAAATGGCAAGCCCGCACTTGAAATCCTCAAGGCCAAAGAAGGAAAGGAAGACTAAACAAACATTACGCCGACAAATGGAAACAGAGAGACATGAGAATAATGAACAACAATTGGATAGAACTGGAAAGGAAGGCCCAGAACAGAGTGGGTTGGAGAATGCAGATCGGCCATCTATGCTCTATTGTGAGTAACAGGCACTAGGAAGTAAGTATGTATTTGGCTGAATTGAGTTCTAGCATTATTGCTGATGACAGTTCATGATGAAAACCGTAAATCTAATTCTTAACCTTAACCTTCATTTGGTACTAGTTATTAGGTGGACACTCTCAATGTCAATCTAGCATCACTCAAAGGTCACCGAATTGATACTTATTTGTATCAAATTCTAATTTATTAAAATAAATGACAATCAAACAACTAACTTCATTACTGTATCATTAACATAAATACTACACCTTATAATAATAAATGCAATGTCAAATCACCTAGGTTAACAACCATACTGCAAATCGAATGTTATCGAACAAGTTTCAATGTAGCTACCAATCTAGGTTACTCGACAATGCGTGTACTATGCTGAGATTAAATTGTAGTTGGAGGTAGTGAAATTATTTATTTATTTATTTATTTATTTATTTATTTGAACACATAAATATTGGTACAAGAGGGCACCAAATATATATGCGCCACACAAATTTTCATTTTATTTGTGTGAGGGCTGTGATACTGCCTGGGTGCCTAAACCGAAGCAAGTGGTTTTCTTAGGGGGCCACATCCCGAGCCTTTGACCTAAAGGTCTAACCCACAAGGCAGTGGAGCATCATGAAGAGATGCAGTCCCATGGAAGTTGGTGACCAATGATTGGTTCATATGCCATTTGTTCCCTCAGGATACCTGAGCCAGCCCATGTGCACCACTGGTTTTGGATCCCGTTATAGCGCAGTCGTAGAGGCTGTGTACGCGTGGCCGTGTGAGACGATTTCGAGAGGGAGGGAAGGCGGGTCCACCCCACTCTCGGCCATATCAGGGCATTTGGGAGGTAGTCAAAAGGATAACTGCGTGACATAGGATCGAATTTGTCAAGGAGCATCAGTTCTCTCAAGATTACAGGTACACTTTGCTGATGAGTGCCAAGTAGCACGAAACCCGGGTCTAGGTATTCTTGTCAACTACCTTCAACCATCATCTAAAATATAGATTATATATATTTCTATATGATTAAATGAATTATCCTGACTCAATCAATCAATCAATCAATCAATCAATCAGTTAGTAACCATGTAGAACTTTGTACATACGTACATCATAGTTCGAATGACCATACTTACTTACTTACTTACGCCTGTTACTCCTCGTGAAGGAGCATAGGCCGCTCACCAGCATTAAAATGACCATACTACATGATATAATTTGTTAGGAATTATTCTATCTAATTATAAAATAATGAAAAACTTACATTTTTTTAATATTTTTATTATCAGAATATTGTAAATCAATTTCAGTAGTATTGAATAATAGATTATTATTATTATCAATTATTGATTTATTGTATTGATTATTATGTGTACTACTTGATACAGTAGAATCTGGTGATTGTCTTGTTTTTCTTAGATTAATTGAACTGTTAACATCGTCATCATCATCATCATCATCATCATCATGAACATCAACATCAACATCATTCATATATGTAGTATTATTATTATTATTATGATTATTATTATTATTATTATGATTGTGTTTGATGAACTTTTTATCTCCTGGTGGTGAAGAATCTGGTGTACGTAAAAGTTTTGGTCGACTTTGAAATATACCTTGACCTTCTTGTCGATTAATAAGAATTTTTTTAATATTAGTTTCATTTGATTTATTTATTGAAAGTTCTTTGATTGTATCCTTGTTAAATGATGTTAATTTGTTATTGGGTGTTGTACATCTTGGTGTTATTTCTATGTTTAAATAAAAATAATAATAGTAATAAATAATAAAAGTGATTTCATCGACGATTTTACAAATTTTATACATCAACCCTTTATTTTTATAGGTCAATGGTTACCTGGATGATGTAACAGATACCTTTGAATCAATAGGCTTTAGTATACATACACAAAAAGAAACGAAACATCCACAGAGAACATCAACTCAATCACACTTGATGGAGAAATTCTGGAAGATGTGAAATCTTTCATGTACCTAGGAGGTGTCATCAATGAACAAGGATGATCTCGTGTAGATGTAAAGTCAAGGATTGGTAATGTAAGTGTCGCATTCCTACAGTTGATTCAAAACAACTGTCTGTCAGCCAATATTAAAGTTAGAATCTTCAATACGAATGTCGAGAAAGTTCTACTGTACGGATCTGAATTTAGGAAAACTATTACAACTATCATCAAAAATGTACAAGTATTTCTAAACAATTGTCTATGCAAGATATTTGATAACCATTGGACGGGCATCATCAGCAATAGCCTACTGTAAGAGAGAATAAACCAGCTTCCAGCCGAAGATAAAATTAGGAAAAGAATGATGGAACATATATTATGGAAATCACCAAACTACAACATGAGGCAAGCGTTAACTTGGAATCCTAAAGAGAAATGGAAAACAGGAAGGACGAGGAACATACTACATCAGAAAATGGAAGCAGATAAGAAAACGATGACAGATCTGAAAAGGATTACCCAGGATAGATTTGGATGTTGATCGGCCTATGCTCCTCCACGAGGAGTAACAGGCGTAAATTACATACATAAGACAACATGACAGTATCTAGTATTCGGCATGTCAGTAATGGCATTATTTTGTTAAATATTTCACCTAAACAAACGGAAAATGACACATTTTCTAACAACATAATGTCGTATAGAACATTTATTAGAAAGACTAATACTTATGCGTAATTCTTAGTGAATATGTTTAGTTCTTATTACCATTCGAACCTCTCTAATGCATTCTTGTTAAGAATTAGTTGGTCTATTACTTGAGTATGAACCTCACTCTAAGTGCAATAACTAATAATATGCGCCTAATCGCTAAAACGAAAGTAAATAAGGTGGGGTTCGAACTTGGGATTGAATGACTGAAGGTCGAAAGTCTTAACTACAGTTAAATGACACATTTAGTTATTTTAACATAACTTACCATCAACAAAACTTTGTGTAATTGTTGCTAAACTATCACGTAAATCAATTTGATTGGAAGTCTCTTCGTATTCATGATTAATTAAACTAGAATTGTATTTGAAATAAAACAAAACAAAAGCATATAAATAGGATAGGGTTATGCTATAAGAATTAATGGTCTGAATGATGAACATTTATTGATCAATAGTTGAAATCATGAATCAATTGAAGAGAGATCACCATGGAAAACCTGGAAGCACTGGATGGCCGTTTCGTTCTAGTATGGGACTCCTCAGTAGGGCGCATCCACGATCCTGCCCCACACAGACTCGAACCCGGGACCTATCAGTCTCGCGCCACGCGCTTAACCAACTAGACCATTGAGCTTCAATTGATTCATGATTTCAACTATCGAAATTGCCAATTCTACACAAAACCCCTTCTAGTAATAATCATCTGCTCACTAGTGATTGACTTCAAGAGATACTCCTGGAGTTCTAGTGAGAAGCCGTTACCAGTGGAGTTCATTCAGGTCTATTATGAGATATCAGCTCATTGAAAACAATGGTGTACGGTGGCGCACTACTGAGGAGTCCCATACTAAGACGAAACGGTTTTCCATGGTGGTCTACCTTCAATTGATTCATGATTTCAACTATTGAAATTACCAGTTCTCCACAAAACCCCTTCTGGTTTATTGATCAACACAACAACAGGAGTATGGCTTAACTTCTCCCTTGTTAAGCAACGTTTTGCTAATACAGAGAAGTCATAGTTATATAATAAGCTATATAATATACCCTTGTGGGTTAGGGTAATTTTACATTGGTTTTTCAGGAGAATCAGACACCATCCAGACTTTCAAGTGACAACCTGAATAGTACGGCTCAACCTTGTTCCCAGGAGAACCAGACACCGTATAGGCCTAAACGCTAAAAACTTGAATAATAAATTCTCAATCCTGTGGCACAACTACACAGGTACCAAGCACCCTGGTGGACCAAATACACAGAAGTAGTAAACCAGAATAAATCTTCGTGTATTCGATTTATCAGAAACTACAAATCTTTAGAAAACATTACTCCAAAGGTTTATTTTTGTACAGAAAAACACGGATATTTATAAGTTATTAGCATTTGTCAAATCAACATTATATTTTGGCCAATCCGCTAAGAGACATATTATGCTACTGACCAATAGTAGCATACCACGTTAATATTCTAGAAAGCTCCCTCATGCTCTGATTGGCTGGAACTCTTCAGCTCCTTTAGGGCCTCTGGATGCTCTGTTGTAGTTCTCGGAAGCCGACTCAACATTTTACTATATCATGTAAGCATGAAACGAAGTCTTTGTTACACTCCACTTTTACGAAAACCTAACGTTATGTGAGTAAGATTTTGCTACGAATACAATCTTGCAAAACTCTTTAGGGCCAGCGAAATTCCACTAAGCCCTAGCCAAATCATCCGGTAGTTGGGTCATTGAATATCGAACAAATCATCAATCTTCGTCAATGTCAAGGACAACCAACGCGCATCAGTTAATCATACGCCATGGACTGGCCCATGCGGCAGTGGTCTCACCTTCGCTTGGATCTACTTTAACTAATATATTTCTGTAATAACGTCCTCTGTGTTGTACAGTCTTCAAAGCATCTATAGTACCTTGATACGTCAATGGGGTAATCCACGTAAGGTGCAGACCGCAAAGTGTGACTTCGACGTTAGTTAGTTTGTCACACCACTCACGTCTAACTCGAGTAAGCCTCCAATCATTTCGACATAGATCATCCACGCTGGTGATCTACAACTCCTTTAGTCCAGGTTTTTTATAGTTAATTGTTACTTTCAGAATAATAACGTTGAATGTAATGTGAAAGATCATAGATAGGCTTCCAATGGAAGCCGTTTTAAATATGAAGTATCATCTAAACTTATGCCTGATCTCAAAGAATCGTGATTATTGTTGTATCAGATACACATACATATATATGTATACTTGTAAAATGGTACATACAATGGATTTCTATTGCCTGTTGATGAATGATTTTCAGATATTGAATTACGGGCAGAACGTTGACTAGGTGTTGTAGGCCGTTGAAGAGGTAAATCATTTCGAAAACTATTATTAGATAATCTTACATCATTATCTCTATTCCATAATGATTTACACCAATCAATACAATTGTTAGTATCATTTTTCATTACTGTTTCTATAGCATAATCATGTTTTAATAAACCTTCACCAATCCATATATGTGGATCATAATGAATAGTCTGTGAACCAGTTAACATTAATAAATCATTTTGATCTGGAGGAGGTAAATCTTGTCGATCAAGGTCACCTTCTAATATTGATGCATCCTCCTAAATAAAGTTGAAAAATTCAATTACATGATTATATGAGTAATATAATGCATGATACAATCATGAATAGGTAATAGTGTAGTGTGTACTACTTATATAGACATAAGTAGTATATGATGTTAGTCGTAAACAGAATGTCTGATAACAGAGAGAGACAAGAAGATCGAACAGTAAAGAATGAAAACAGAATGAAATTCGTATGAAAATCGAGGAACAATGAAGCCTAAGTCATTTTTAGACAACTGATGGCTATTTTGCAAATCGACCATTTACTATATATTGTTGTTAGATTTTGTTAACATGTTCTGTACATTCGATTGTCCCCACCCGTGTTCGTGTTCATTGCAAGTGAAGTGGAAACTAGGTTTAGAAATTGGTTATCAACTACTTAAATGAAGGAAAACATTGAACTTCTGATGGAGTTTTGTTCTCTGAGCTGGATGGTTTGGTTGTGGAGCTTTCATCGTTCTTCTGAACGACATCATCAGCACAAACTTCAGATAGAAGTGAAGTGTTCGAATTTCTCCATATGCGTTTCACAGCTTGTTCTGTGCACCTCGATGTTGATTGGTTCTTATTGACCTTAAATTTGTCATTGTTTACTTCTTTGTCTTGGTTTTGTCTCCTATTGGTTTGATTCTTGTTCCTATATTTGTGCATAAGTTTCCTGATTGGTTGATAAATCGGATCGATTTCAATATGTTTGTTGATTGCTGATTGACCTGAGTACCAGGCTTCTAAAAATTCTCATGTGTTTTTAGAATTTCCGCCGTCCAAGATTTCCACATTTTTCCAATCGAATGTGTGTCCGCAGTTGTCCATGTGTATTGATATAAGTGAGGAGATATCATGCCGTTTGACTGCTAATTGATGTTTATGTAAGCGCATGTGAAGGGGGCGTCCGCTTTGTCCGATGTAGTGTTTGAAAAAATATGTAAAAACATCGTCTGAAAGTTGTTGAAAATTAATCAACAGCTGAGAAAAAAAAATCAAAGCAATACAGAGTAGAAAAGATTATGTAAAGCTCCTATTTTTTCAAAAGATCATCACTTATACTAGTTCACACTTTAATGAACACAAAATTGGCCCCTAAATGTTCAGGTACGGCCGTGGGTGAAGAGAGTCAACTCTTTGTCTCCAAATGCTCTTATATGGCTACGCGTATACAGCCACTTCCAGAGAAGTCCTACTCACTACATTCTCAAGGCATTACTATTATTTACGAAATTCAGAGGATGAAAAGCAAATGTCCGACGCTTTAACCGGGTTGGTGGATACGAAGGGTCCACTTAGGGGAATTGGAAAACCCTCATCCCGAACCAATCGTGCAAATGGGATCCAGTATCCTGAAGGAACAAATAGTGTATAAACCTATTGTTGATCATCGGCTGCCATGAGACTGCATTTCCTTACGTTGCTCCACTGCCATGTGGATCAGACCTTTAGGTCGAAGGCTCCAGGTGTGGCCCACTAAGAAAATCACCTGATTCGGTTTGTGCACCCGGGAAGTATCCCAGCTCTCATATGTATCAAGTGAATTGTGTGGCTTATATGCATACGGTGCCCCTTTGTACCAATATTTATATGTTCAAATAAATAAAAAATAAAGAACACAAAATCGAGAGTGACTTCCAAATCATTTCACTGATATTATAAACAAAAGCAACAGATATCTGACAACTAAACTGTTGAAATTGGAAGTACTTATAGGGAATATTTATATCACTTTCAAGAATTTCAGTGAGCAATGCATGAAGTTCAATCTACTGTAATTACATACTTGGATCGATGAATGTATGTGCCTGGTCCTACGTTGTAGCTGACTGACTGACATTCATTAAAACAATATCATCATACTAACTATCAAGTAAATTGCAAGTCAATCTATTTGCTTTATTCTGAATCAAAAGGTAATTAGTCACAGTAACCAATTTCCAAATTGATCTGGAGTAATCTTCCTTAATAATACTTAGGACCATCACAGATCAGGCTGATTACAGTATTCACTTCAAGATGAAGCTGCCTACTGATCAGTAGTATAACACATAAAACGATTTTTCTTAATCTTGAAACAGTGGATTCTTATAAGCAAAGATGGATAGTGTCGAGCAATGGAATTCAAGACGCAGGTTTCGTATTATTTTGGACTCGTCAGTTAGACGCAACCGTATCTTAGAGTTGATGTGTACTCTGGGACTTGAACTAATTATCGTTCGCTTCAAACGTCATCGCGTTATCCACTTAGCTACTGCGTCCTGATAGCCACATGCTTGTGCAATAAGGTGAAGTTATTAGGATTAGGTATATTTATTAATCTGTTTGATTAGTTAGTGTTTTAGCACATGTCTAATATTTTTTTACTCAAAACCACATCTCATAGTTTGCACTACGAATTAAGATCAGTCAGTCAGTCATCTACAACGTAGAACCAGGCACATATATGCATCGGTTCAAGTTGCCATACAGCATTAGCATAACAAGATGAACACCGCATTCATAGGAGTAGTTAATTCGACGGTGGTAATATATAAAAGAAAGATTGCATATAAGGGATTAGTTCGTAGAAAGATATAAAGCAATTTTGATCTCATAGTTTAAAGGAAGATAAAGATTGTATACACTGACGTTATTGTGATCGATTCTGTGTCATATCACATCGAGTCTCCAACCATTGGTTACGATAGTCACTCGGATCCCAACCAAGTAATCTGTATCTATCAACATGGCTGAGACTAGAAGTTAGTGACTTCAAGAACTGATGCCATGTTTTGATTTGGCGAACCCTAACTTTCTTCTAACCATCCCCAACACCAATCAGTATTGAACGTCGTGGTAATCGATGCTTAGGTATACATCAACATCATTTTCATAGTTGCTGAAGAGTATGCAACGTTGAACAATTAATTTGTTTTGTTTATGGACTATTATAAAGTCGTAGGTAAGGCTCATAATTTCACAAGAAAGTAAACTCAGGATCTTAAGATCTAGGAATGTCAGCACAATAACTTGAAATTAATGAGTCAGAATTTGTTCAGCTTTATTTTAAGCTGCATAAACATACATTCTGAAGATACCAAAGGTATTCGGAGTTTGACAACGCTTTAACCAGTAACACCTTCTAATACAAAGCGCACCCACCAAGTAAAATCAAAAGACAGAAGTGAGGAGATCGAAGATATATTTGATAAGCTATCAATATATCGAGGATCGTTTGCACTAATCTGGCTAGCGATTGCGGCAGATGTTGAGCACGGCGTTCCTACACGTGATCTGTTACGGATGCTTGACTGAGCGCCTTCAGCTAGATGAGTCCACTAAAACTGTGGTCAGCATCTACTGTCGAAAACTTACAGAGCTATTTGATTTTTAAGAATTATTTACCGCTACAATTCTCTTACTGATGAGATAGTCAAAACTTATGAAATACGAAAGTATTCAAGTTTAGTTTTTGAGAATGAAATTTTATTTCAATCATTAATAGAATTCTAATTCATATCTGTTTAGACTTCAGTCAGTCAGTCAGTCAGTAACAATGTGGAACTTCGTACGTACGTACATCAGTTCGAGTTACCATACCACAATAGCACAGAGATTCAATTATCGATTCAAATCCCGTAGTGGTACAAGTAGTGAAAGTATAAGTAGTGATAGGGAACATTAGGGTTTGATGATGTTATTTAAAAAGTATCATCCATTCGAATAGATTTAGAAAGAAGAAAAAAAGAACATGAAGAATTCAGAAGATTAGAATTTGAGAGAACACAAAGAGTGAATACACCTGATTAGATTTCAAAACATTTAACTTGTGGAATCAATAGATTAAATAAGAACATTTGAGATAGTTCTCAAATATATGAACTAACCTCATCATCATCATCGTCAATATCATCATCTGAGTCTATTAAAGATGGTTGTTCAGCTACAAATATAGTAAATAGGGAGAAAAGAAAACAAATTACATGGGTAAGTTAACTTGAAAATGTTAAATATTAGAAATTTCAGCCCTCACATATTAGTGATGAAATTAGTATAGGCAACTGACATTTTGGGTTCTTTAACCTTTCTAAACATTTTCTTATCGATTGGTATTATTTTTCTAATTAATTTATTACTGTCCAAAATGTCAAAACTGTCATTTCCAGGGAAAGTTTGATTCATACCTATTCATGATGTCACGAGGATAGTGGAAAGTATTCCCATGAACATGGGTGATAAGATGATCGTGCTCAAATCATTTTGCTGGAACTGATGAAGATAGATTTAGTTCTTTTCTCTGTTATAAATAAGCACTGTTTGAAAGACTTATGATAAAAATTTATGTGCTATGAACGATAGGTAAAGCTAATTATTCGTTTTGATAATGGACTAAACTATCTCTAAGAAAGGTTAATAGTTCTGATGAAAACTAGAGTAATGGATCTCTTGATAACAAGAATTGTACTAAAATCGATAATTAACGTATCCGTTTGCTTTACTATTCTGATTGCTTCAATCTCTTAAACATTTACTGAAACTTACAAGCAAAGATGGATAGTGGCTAGCAGTGGAATTCAGGACGCGCGTTTCGTCCTATTTGGGACTCGTCGTCAGCTGGATGTACCTGTATCTCAGATTTATTGATGTTCACTCCTGGACTTGAACCCAGTACCGTCCGCTTCAAACGCCATCGCGTTATCCACTTAGCTACTGAGTCCTGATAGCCACTTGCTTGTAAAATGGGGTGAAGTTTAATTCACTTGATAAGAGACTGAACAATTTCAGTCCTAAACATCAATGAGAAGATTCAAATAAAACAATATCAAGTGAATTTACTGAAACTGTTCTGTTCTGTTTTTTTTTTTGTGAAAAGCTACTCACCTTCTCTAGTTTGAGTTTATGCTATGAACCTAATCGCTATTCATAGATCAACGAATAACATGAACTCATGTTTAGTTTATTATCTTCAATGTATCCTTATTCTTATTGAATTATATTTTCTGTTTGAGAGTTTCTGATTTATATTGATATTGTTATTATATCAGGTCCTTTGATTTTTAGCTAAATGTTACTATTCTATCATTAATACTACTATTAAATGTTATTATTTGAATCATTGAATACTTTTTACCTAATTCTACGATGTTTATTACTGTGGGAAAGAACAAACCAGATCCTAGTGGAGGAAGAAGTGCTGGAAGTGGATAGGAAAGACATTGAGGAAAGCACTCAACTGCGTTACAAGGCAAGCCCTCACTTGGAATCCACAGGACCAAAAGAGAAAAGGGAGACCAAGCACAACACATTACTCCAAGAAATGGAAACAGACAGACATGAGAAGAATGAACAATAATTGGATAAAACTAGAACAGAATTCCCAGGACAGAGTGGGTTGAAAAATGCTGGTCGGTGGCCTATGCTTCATTGGGAGTAATAGACATAAGTAAGTAAGTAAGTATGTAAGTAAGTAAGTAAGTAAGTACGATGTTTATAACTGCTTCACTGAATGATCATGATGTATTAGTTTAACAATAAAAATTGAGAAACTTGAAACAGTGTACATTTCAATCTCATTCTATATGAATCCTATCTATACTTATTTGATTAAGTACTTTGAATAAATGGTAATGAATTCCTACATTGCAAAGTTTTCAACAGTTTATTAAATTAAAACTGAAAATAGAATGGTAAAACTACTGTAAGCAGTTTTATTCAGCGTTATATACTGTATCTTGTTGTTTGATAACATTAATTTGTTAACCTTTATATATGAATGAAGTCCCGGAGTGAACATCAACTCTGCGATGCAGGTGTATATTCAACTGACGAGTCCCAAATAGGACAAAACACGCGTACTAGATTCCACTGCTGGCCACTATCCATCTTTCTTTATTAAAATGAATATAGTTTAGGCCTTTTTTCAGTGTTGAATTTATCATTTATTTAGTGAATGAATGGATTCTAATATACTTATGCTTTTTTTATCTGATAAGCTGAGTTAAACAAAATCCTTTCCAACTTTTCCCAATTGTTATTCATCTTTTTCATATCTGCTTCCAATTTTCGATGAAGTATTTTCTTTGGCCTTCCACATTTTTGTTTCCCTTCAGGATTCCAAGTTAAGGCTTGCTTCGTGATGCCGTTTGGTGATTCGCATAATGTATGACCTATCCATTTCCATCATCTTTTCCTAATTTCCTCTTCAGCTGGAATCTGGTTTGTTCTTACCCACAAAAGACTGTTGCTGATGGAATCCGACCAATGGATGTTGAGTATATTGCATAGACAACTATTTATAAATACTTGTACCTTCTTGATGGTTGTTGTAGTAGTTCTTCATGCTTCAGCTCCGTGCAGTAGAACTAACTGTGTTGACGTTCGTATTGAAGATTCTGACTTTGATATTGGCTTAAAAACACTTGTTTTGAGTTCCATATGTTCTTCAATTGAAGGAATGAAGCCCTTACTTTGCCAATCCTCGCATTTACGTCTGCATCTGAACCTCCTTGTTCATCGATGATGCTTTCCAGGTATGTGAAAGATTCTACATCTTCCAGTGTTTAGCCATCAAGAGTGATTGGATTGCTGTTCTCTGTGTTGTATTTGAGGACTTTGGTTTTTCTCATGTGTATGTTGAGGCCTACTGATCCAGAAACTGCTGCTATGTTGGCTGTCTTTGCCTGCATTCGTTCGAGTGTATGCGATAGGATGGCTAGGTCATCTGCGAAGTCTAAATCGTCTAATTGGTTCTGAGCTGTCCATTGTATGCCATGTTTTCCCTCAGATGTCAAGGTCTTCATAATTCAGTCGACCTCAAGAAGAAAGAGGAAAGGAAAAAGCAGAAAGCCTTGTTTTCATTTAGAAACACATATTTCCTAAATGAAATGTTTATTCCGGTTAGCGTTTTATTCTTACAAAAAATGTTTTCTACAGAATAAGGTTACTGAACCCATATCTAACCCTCCTCCCTTACTCGAGTTTGTAATCGGTAGTAACTCTAGAAAAGCTACAAACTCCTCTACGACAAGGGAGGTGCGGGGGGGCAAAGGTGTAAGTAATTAAGTATTGTTTAAATAAACAATTAACATTTTCCATAACTTACATGAATTTAATCTTTGTAAAATAAATTCAAATTGACGATTCATTTCTGGTTGATTTGGTTTAATAAATTTTTTTAAAAGATGCCTGAGATTCTATGGAAACAAAAACAAACATCAAAAATTATAAGCATAGATGGATAGTGGTTAGCAGTGGAATCCAGGGCGTGAGTCTCGTCCTATTTGGGACTCGTCAGCTGGATGAACCTGCATCTGAGAGTTGATGTTCACTTTGGGACTCGAACCCAGTACCGTCCGCTTCAAACGCCATCGCGTGATTCACTTAGATACTGAGTCCTGATAGCCAATTGTTTGTGCAATGGGGTGAAGTTTAATTCACTTGTTGAATTCACTACTCTTTTTTTTTATTGGAAAATAAGTAGTATACATCCATCATAATGCAGTTTATGATTGTGCTTGTGTTTGTGTTCTCAAATGTTTATATCAAATAAAAGTGTATCATCATTTTATTGTTTCAAAAAATCAAAAACCAAAACAAAAGGAAGCTAATCATAAGAAATAGTTTAGTTGAAAGAAGAAAAATACTGGCACCCGTATTTATGAAATCTATCTCTTTAGGAGAATATATGCGGTAATATGTGTTACTATGGTAACATCTCTCTCTCTCTATATATATATATATGTATATAGACGCGTCATATGATTTAGTTATTCAATAGTTTATACATTCAAAGATTTATTAATTGTATATCAATGTTTAAGAAATTTCAATAAGATAATTACATTTCAATGATAGTTATTTGGTGATTTAATAATTGAATTCATGAGTTAAATGAAGATAAACCACCAAGGAATACCTGGAAGAACTGAACGATTGTTTTGTCTTAGTATAAGAATCCTCATTAGTGCGCATCCATAATACCACCTTGCGATCTAGATGTATTTGATTCACAAATTTAACTACGAAATTGTTATAATATTCACAAAACCCCTCTCTGATTATAATCATCATATGCTCACTAGTGAAGGTCTTCAAGAGGTAATTTCTTGAGTTCTAGTGAGATGCAGTAATTAGTGGAGTTCAATCAGGTCTGTTGTGAGATAGTAATTCATTAAAGACAATGGTGGATGTGTCGGTCAATTTCGTGGATTAGTTGAAGTTAAACATTAACACCGTTGGATGCCGTTCGACTCAGTGGACTAGAGGTTAAGCGTTCGCGTACGAAACCGATAGATCCTGAGTTCGAATCCCGGAACTGAGATCGTGAATGTTCACTATTGAGGAGTCCCATACTAGGACGAAATAGCCATCCAGTATTCTCAAGTTTTCCATGGTGGTATAGCTTTAATTGATTCATGAACTCAACTATTAAATGACTATAATATTCACAAAAACCCTTCTCTGATTATTCAGTGCAAGAAAAACCGAGGGAATAGTGATTTTGATTATGATCAGAAGAGTAAAACTATACTGAACAGTTGTTTATATCAAAGTTAAGGATTCCCTAGAGGTGTACACTTACATTGAAAGAAACTGTTGGTTAACAAGTACAGCTGTAGAAAAATTACTGATCTTATAAATTTTAACTAATTAGCATAGTCTAAATTGACGATCGATATTTACCTAGAGACTGATAATAAACTATTATTCCATCATAATAAGGTTTGGATTATATTGTCTGAAGAGACAATGAATATTTTCTAATAAAATAATCCATTTCAAAGTATATGGAACTTCTTAATATCACAAATTACATCTCAGTCCTACCGGCAGTCGGTCGCGGCCTAGATAATCCAGTGGTAACTTCTCTGACTGTGAAGCTGGGTGACACGGGATTGAATCTGTCAGGGAGTATCAGTTCCATCCAGATTACAGGTACACCTTGATGACTAGTGCCACGTAGCACGAAACCCGAGTCCAGGGTTTCCTGTCGACTACCTTCAGCCACCATCTAACGTTTTTTTTAGTGAATTAGATTTCTAAGGGATAGAATCGTTAACCCTATGCCAAACCCTTCTTCTTTATCTGTGATTAGAATCGACACTAACTCTAGAAGAGCCACAAAAATGATACCAGTGATTAATAATCACAACTAAAGCCTATCAAATAGTCATTATTACAAATGACAGCATCAAATTGAACATAACCTATCAGATCAGCTCATAGAGTAGTTACATCACTAAATATTAGCAATGCTCAAAATGATTCGAATATTGTAATGTTATTTAATTATGCAAATCCGCCTGGAGTCCCTCCGGGAGCTACTGCCGGTCCCAAGCCCATATAAAGGAGGATGGTTGGGCAAAGAGAAAAGCGAGATTCTTCGATACAACACAGCATGCACCAATCCAATCACAATTGACGGGGAAGATTTGGAAGACGTAAATACCTTTACATATTTGGGCAGCATCAACGATGAACACGATGGATCTGATGCAGATGTGAAAGCGTGGATCGGCAAAGCAAGAGAAGCATATTTACAACTGAAGAATATCTAGAACTCAAAACAACTGTCTATCAACCAACGTCAAAGTCAGAATTTTCAATACAAATGTTAAGACAGTTCTACTGTATGGAGCGGAAACCTGGAAAATTACGAAAGCCATCATCCAAAAGATACAGGTGTTTATTAACAGTTGTCTACTCAAAATACAACGGATCCGTTGGCTAAACACAAACAGCAACAACCTATTGTGGGAGAAAACAAATCAGATCCCTGTGGAGGAAGAAATCAGGAAGAAGTGCTGGAAGTGGATAGGATACACATTGAGGAAAGCACCGAATTGCGTCACAAGACAAGCCCTCATATGGAATCCTCAAGGTCGAAGGAGGAGAGGAAGACCAAAGAATACATTACGCCGGGAAATGGAGATAGATATGAGAAAAATGAACAAGAATTGGATGGAACTAGAAAAGAAGGCCCAGGACAGAGTGGGTTGGAGAATGCTGGTCGGCGGCCTATGCTCCATTAGGAGTAACAGGTGTAAGTAAGTTAGCAAGTAAGTAATTTAATTGTGCATATTTATTTACATTGATTGCTTTTCTTTTAAAAAGAATATTGAATTGATAATAATAGAGTTAGTTCATCATAGTATCATGTTATTTAGAAACCAGTAAACTTCAATTACAACAATACAATGCATTATACTACTGAATTACAATATAAGTTATACTAATATAATACTTAACTATACTCAGGTATGTGCCGATACACTTACATGAAATGCATACTTTCTGAATACATATTTTGATACAACATAATTCATGGAGAGAGAGAGAGAAGGAGAAGAAGAGAGGGGGGAGACTACTTCTACTACTACTACTTCTACTACTACTACTACTACTACTACTACTACTATGACTACTACTGGTAGTAATAGTAGTAATTAGACTGAAGTTATTGATTTACATTTTATGTCATTTTTATCTCTTTAAATTAACTTACAGTAAACTGATCATTGTGTTTATTACATATACACGTATACATGGCAACTAATTCTTTCTTTTTTTGAAAAAAAATAAAAAAATTGGCGTGTGCATTGTATGTTACCATGAGAGAGAATAAATTTTATTCATTATTACATTATACAATGAATGAGTAATAAGAAGATGATTATTATTTATTTATTTTAATACATAGATATTGATACAAGGAGGTACTAAATACATATGCGCCAAACAAATATCATTTGATTTCTGAGAGGGCTGTGATACTGCCTGGGTGCCTAAACCGAAACAGGTGATTTTCTTAGGTGGCCACACTCCGAGCCTTCGACCTGAAGATCTTATACACAAAGCAGTGGAGCATCTTAAGGAGATGCAGTCCCACGGTAGCCGGTGACCAACGATTGGTTCATACCCCATTCGTTCCTTCAGGATACTGGAGCCAGCCCATGTACACCATTGGTTTTGAATCCGGTTAAAGCGTCGAACATTCGCTTTTCTTGCTCTCAATTTAGTAAACAGCACCCCCGCCACGAGAAAGCAATGAGTAGGATTTCTCTGGCAGAGGCTATATACACGTGGCCATGTCAGAGCATTTCGAGAGGGTGAGCGGATTCTCCCCACTCTCGACCCTATCAGGGCATTTAGGGGCATTAACATCGTTCGATACCGGTCGGCTCAGTGGTCTAGAGATTAAGCGTTCACGCGTGAGACCGATAGATATTGGGTTCAAATTTCGTGAGGTGAGATCGTGAATGAGTACTGTCGAAGAGTCCAACAATATGACGAAATGGTCATCTAGTGCTTCCAGGTTTTCCATGATGCTCTAGCTTCAATTGACCCCTTTTGATAATAATAAATATTTTCCTTAGAATAATCATTCTCATTTTTTAAACTTAAACTACTTAATTAAAATTGAATAAAGTATGTTAAAATGCTGAGGAGTTCTATACTAGGACGAAACGGACATTCAATGATTTAAGGTTTTTCATGGTAGCCTAGATTTAATTGACTCATGAATTCAAGTATAGAAAATTTATTTATCTCTGATTAACAAATCACGTAAAGATCATTATAGCTTTGACTAATTCAATAGATATACAACATATAATCTGTTGAATAAACAATACCAATATACAATGTTCCATTGTGTTCCAACTTACTACATAACGATTGTTATAATGAAAAAAAAAAGAACCGGAACCTTCTAAAATGCAATTCAGGAACATTATTAAATAAAGTACACTACTGAAGTGTATTCGCCATTGTATTTAGGTTCTAGGAGTTGACTGAAGTCTGTTAGTTGATCAAAAATAGCATAATTAGTTAAAATGATGTTTTTCATTAGGAGGGGGGACCACTTAATTTTTTTGATGTAAAATGATAGTGATAATCATAAATTCAATACATTATTTGCATATCTTCCATCAGTTGTCGTTTTGTATGCTACATGATTATTTCGATTTCTCCTAGTTCCCTTTCCTGTTTTCGTCGATTGCCCTCAAATGTCCGGGTACGACCGAGGGTAAGGAGAGTCAACTCTCCCTTTCCAAATGCTCTGACATGGCCATGTGAATACAACAACTTCAAAGGAAGCCATCTCGCAGCGAGGGTGTTCTATAAAAACTAAGAGTACGAAGAGCAAATGTTCGCCGCTTTAACCGATTTGGTTGACATGATGGGAGTGAACGTGGGTTCCAGTATCCTGAAGGAACAAATGGCGTATGAACAAATCGCTGGTCACCGGCTACCATGAGACTGAATCTCCTGACGTTGCTCCACTGTCTTATGGATTAGACCTTTAGGTCGGAGGTCTCGGGTGTGCCTCCCAAGAAAACCACCTGTTTCGGTTTGGGCACCCAGGCAATATTAGCTCTCACACAAATCGAATGATTTATGTGGCGCATATTTATTTGATGCCTTCGTATACCAATATTTATGTGTTTAAATAAATAAATAAATATCTTGAATTCAGTCTTCTACTGGCAGGCATCCTACTGTCGATCAGTGCTACATACTATTTATGTCTGTCAACATAAGTAGAATACATTACAGTATAAATAAACTATGGTGAAGTTAAACTAGACAAAATTGAAAAGATTAAAGTTATATTAAGCAGGAAAAATAACTTTGATCAGTTTTCATTCCAAAAGTTTAGTAGTAATGTCTTACAATGTGAAATCGAATGATGCTTAGGTAAATACCATAATAAACATCGAATTCTTGAAGGTTGCACAGACGACTTACTCCAGTTAGTCAGTCAGCTACAGCGTAGAATGAGGCACATATATGCATCGGTTCAAGTTGCCATACCTCATTAGCACAGCAAGATGATCGTTGTTGCTACATTGACGTGGTGGTCGGGCTTGCCTATCGTGATGAAGCAACCGAGCTAAAATGGCTGGAAGAACCGTTCCATAAGGTTCTACCATGCCAGACGGGTCGGTTGAAGAGTGGTAAGACTAAAAGCAACAAACCCAAGGTCCGAAGGCGAAGTCGTACTGCTGAGTGTACAGAGCTGTGATGGCAGTAAGGTGTTTCCCCCAGTCAACCAGCATAGCAGCGATACTGCCTTCCCACAAGGAGAGGGTGGAGTTAGAAAAGGTTGGCCCTAAAAATGCACACCTCATCTTATCCCACGGATATCCGTCTCCTGCGGTAAAGTCTCAACAAGTACGGAGGTACCACGAAAATCACTCACAGAAAGATCGTGTGTGACCGACACCAAGTAATCGTCCCTTGGGCATTGCGGTCACGCTCTCAGGTCACTAAGATCACCTTTACTCCATTTTCCTTTTCAGGTACCTCCAGAATAATCCTTCCACGGTGTGGGCAACCGGAAATCTATAATCGCCCTTATACCTCTAGAAGCACTCAAGACGACTTACTGACTACTTTCAACCATCTAATATTAAAATAATCCATATTTAACTATGACACATAATAATAATAATTTAAGAGAAAAAAGTAGTAAGAAGTGCTAAACTTACCATTTTCTCAGCTGTTTTTCTTATCTCTGATAATGCTAATATAGAATATAATGCACCGTTGATATATGGCACTATATCAATATTGTCAATACTTAAAAGATCCATTAGAACATTAAGTAAACGTCCTGTGATTGGTATGCAGCATCGTTTACCTAGAAAGTTGAAAAATAGCTATGATGAATTTAAAGTTATACAAATGGACAGCTTGGATGCAGCTCCGTGATATGAAATTTACATATAATTTAGCCCTTCTATTACATGCACACCAACAAATGCAGATCAAAACATCCAGTGTCACAGCAACCTCTACAAAAGTAGACCTCAATATACGTAAATAAAAAAGCAACATCCTCAAATACAATAAGGAGAACACAAACTTAATCACACTTAATGGCGAAGCTCTGGACGATGTGGAATCTTTCGCGTAGATGGGAAGCATCAACGATGAACAAAGAAGATGTGATGCAGAGGTAAAGATAAGGATTTACAAAACAACGTTAGCATCGTCACAAATGAAGAACATATGTAACTAAAAACAACTGTCAATCAACATGAAAATCAGAACCTTCAATACGGACATCAAGACAGTTGGTTCTACTGCATAAAGCTGAAACTTGGAGAACTACTACAACCATCATCAAAAATTACAAGTATTTGTAAACAATCGTTTGCAAAAAAAACACCCAATATCCGTTGACCGGATATCATCAGCAACAGCCTACTATAGGACAGAGCAAACCAACTTCTAACTGAATAAAAAATAAGGAAACAATGTTGGGGGGTGGATAGCGCACATATTACGGAAACGATCAGACTGGATAACGAAGACAGCGCTAACTTAGAATCGTGAAGGGAAACAGTAAAGAGGAAGACCAAGAAACACATTGAGTCGGTAATTAGAAGCAGTCCAAGAAAGATTCGTATGGAGGATTCGCGTGAGCTGCTTATGCTCCTCCACGAGGGGTGACCAGCGTTAGTAATTTATATATATAGTATTCTAAAGTCGAAATTTTACAATTATATATATTGGAATTGGATAGGACATACATTGAGGAAAGCACTCAACTGCGTCACAAGACAAGCCCTCACATGGAATCCTCAAGACCAATAAACACATTACGCCAGGAAATGAAGACAGACATGAGAAAAATGAACAAGAATTGGATGGAACTAGAATAGAAGGCGGAGGACTGAGTGGGTTGGAGAATGTTGGTCGGCGGACTATGCTCCATTAAGAGTAACAGGAGTAAGTAATATGTATATATATATATATATTTACAGTTAAACACATATTTCCGTTGACCCTTCAAAATAACAGACAGTAATTTTGTCCAAATCATTAACTAATTACTATGCAATTACTTTTCATAGAATTAATTTATCAAATATAGATTTTTGTACACGATATATTGGATGCCATACTTTAATGTACAATAATCTAGTATTAAAGTGGAGTGTTCCGGAGGAATAGCGTCGGCTGTAGTGGATGCGGTCGACGAAGAGAAGCGATCAGACATGCGGCTGCTGGAATCATATGGCTCAGCAGGTCATCGGAGTGCAGGTATTGAACGTCTCAAGTGCCTAGTGAATATTGGATGTTGATGCGCTGGCGAGTTAACAAAGTTATAAAGGTCAGCACACCGAAGACTCGACAGTCTGACGGAAAGCATAGCACAAACTGCAGAAAGGAAGAAATTAGCACAGCATGCAAAACCACAGACCAGATTGCGACACTACGGATCATCGTCGAACAATCAATTGAGTGGAACTCGTCACTCTACATCAACTTCATTGATTATGAGAAGGCATTTGACAGTGTAGATAGGAGGACGTTATGGAAACTTCTTCGACACTATGGAGTTCCTGAGAAGATTGTCAACATTATCCGGAACTCATACGACGGACTACAGTGCAAAGTAGTGCATGGAGGACAGCTGACAGACGCATTCCAAGTAAGGACCGGAGTAAGACAAGGCTGTCTACTCTCTCCCTTCCTGTTTCTTCTGGTGGTCGACTGAATTATGAAGACCTCGACATCTGAGGGAAACTACGGCATACGATGGACAGCTCAGAACCAATTAGACGACTTGGACTTCGCAGATGACCTATCCCTCCTATCACATACACACGAACAAATGCAGATAAAGACAGCCAGCATAGCAGCAGTCTCTGCATCAGTAGGCCTCAACATACACAAAGGGAAAACCAAGGTCCTAAAACACAACACGGAGAACAGCAATCCAATCACTCTTGATGGCGAAACTCTGGAAGACGTGGAATCCTTCACATACCTGGGAAGCATCGTCGATAAACAAGGAGGTTCAGATGCGGATGTCAAGGCAAGGATTGGCAAAGCTAGAGCGGCATTCCTTCAACTGAAGAACATATGGAACTCAAAACAAGTGTTTTTAAGCCAATATCAAAGTCAGAATCTTCAATACGAACGTCAACATAGTTAGTTCTACTGCAAGGAGCTAAAGCATAGAGAACTACAACAACCACCATCAAGAAGGTACAAGTATTTATAAATAGTTGTCTATGCAATATACTCAACATCCATTGGCCGGATACCATCAGCAACAGCCTTTTGTGGGAGAGAACAAACCAGCTTCCAGCTGAAGAGGAAATTAGGAAAAGACGATGGAAATGGATAGGACATACATTACGCAAATCATCAAAATGCATTATGAGACAAGCGCTAACTTGGAATCCTGAAGGGAAGCAAAAAAGAGGAAGGCCAAAGAACACATTACGTCGGGAAATAGAAGCAGATATGAAAAAGATGAATAAGAACTGGAAAGAGCTTGAAAGAATTGCCCAGGACAGGGTTGGATGGAGAATGCTGGTGAGCGGCCTATGCTCCTTCACGAAGAGTAACAGGCGTAAGTAAGTAAGTAAGTATGCAGAACCACCGTAAAAAACGACTATTTTAAAAGAGAGACAAGTATAATGTATGTTACTGATATCGACAGATATATAAATCCTATGTATCATCAATCAAAAGTGAAATATCTAACGATAGAAGGTTAAGAAAATCAAAGAAATAAGAATGAATGATTCATGTGTTCAAATACAATTGATTGTTCTCAATTATGTTCTCATTCATTATCCTATCTCTAATCACTCAATAGTTAATAGTTTTATTAAATATAATTAAAAATAAACAAATTTAACTTACCAGAACTTCTTAAACATAAATTCATACAAAGAGCAACTGCATATTCTAATGTATAATCCGATAGATTATGCATATTTTCTAATAAATTTATTACCCATAAAATAACTCCTTGTTTAATCATTACAGTTTGCATTGGTCGTCTAATAATAATAATAAGAAGAAGAAGAATGATTTGTGTGTATAATCAAAGATCGATTATTTAAAAAAGGGGTATTCCATGTACCTAAATTAATGATTGCTATGGTTGTCAAAAAGGGTATCAGCCTCATGATCACCATAGAAACTCAATGTTCATCATAAGGTGTTATAACTCTTCAAAATAAAGATTTTCTGACTCCCACAGTAGAGTTTAAATGGTTAGTGTTATTTTTTATAAGGGATAGGGTCACTAATTCTATGCCCAACTCTCGTCCTTTATTCGGGCTCTGGACTGGAAGTTGTACCAGAGGGACTAATAATAGAATTTCTTTTGAAGTTTACTTGAAACAAACGAAAAATAGACTGGGTTTTTTTTTTGTCAATCTTAATGTGGTCAGTATAAGTTGTAAGAAATGTCAGTTAATCAGTCAGTCAGCTACAACGTAGGACCAAGCACATATATGCATCCGTCCAAATTGCTATATCGCATTAGCACAACAAGATGAACACCGGATTCATAGAAGCAGTTCATTCAATGGTAGTAATATATAAAAGAAAGATATGAAGCAATTTTAATCTCATAATTTAAGGGAAGACAAAGAGTGTATACAATGACGTCATTATGATCGATTCTGAGCCATATCACCCAACATCTCCAATCATTGAATACAATAGTCAACGATATCAAGTAAGCATTACGCATATATATATATATATATATATATATATATATATATATATATATATATACATATTAGCATTCATACAATGACAAGACAATCAATTCTTTCATGTCGGTCGAATATATTTTCAACACTTATGCTTCAAAGATTTATTCGTCGAGCATATAACAATGAGCGTGACATTTTTATGCTTCACTCTGTAATCTTAGAATTGTTGTCTCATAACTGATGAATTCTATAATACTATATAACATTATAGATCCATACATCATATATCTATGAGGTTCTAAGTTACTTTTCATTCCATTACTAATCATAGTATTGTATTGTTCAAATAATTGTTTTGCTTTTATATCTAATTTAGGCACATTGTAATAGAATTGGACATGACAATACTTGTATTCAATTCTATTCTGTTCAAATGTTCTTAGGAGGATTAAAGAAGTAATCAAACATAATTTAGTATGAAGATATATTGAAATTACATGCAAATATATCGTAACTTGTTCTCTGAGCTCAGAGAACAAAACTCCATCAAAATCATCCACCTGAGCTACAAATCTCCATCATCTCAAGGAGATATGTTTCACGATTAGTTGAAAGCTAATCTACTGCTGATATTTAACGTGACCGCTTCAACTAATGGTGTTCCTAATGAAACGAAAGTGATTAGCATCATTATCTAATGCATAAAAGCAATTTAGTTCAGAGATTTATTCACTGATATAACATATTCAATTCGTCAAAAAGATCTATATGTAGCCATTAGAAGAAAGTTAGGGACAGACAAATTAAAACGTGGCATCAGTGCTTGAAGTCACTAACTTCTAGTCTGAGCCATATTGGTAGATGTAGGCTATTTGATTGGCGTCCACGTGACTATCGTAACTAATGGTTAGAGACTCTTGATGACATGGCTCAGAATCAATCACAATGATGTCAGTGTATACACCCTTTGTCTTCCCTTAAACCATAAGGTTAAAACTACATTATATCTTTCTTTCTAATTCTTTCTTCCTGTACTATATCCATATATGTAATCTTTCTTTTATATATTACTACCATTGAATTAACTACTTCCATGAATTTGGTGTTCATCTTGTTGTGTTAATGCGGTATGGCAACTTGGACCGATGCATATATGTGTCCGGTCTTACGTTGTAGCTGACTAATATTATAAATTAAATAAAATGTTAAGCGGATGAACATAATAATGGTCGATAAAACAATAACAAAGTCATACAGGACATATGCATTGAAAATATAAATAGTACTACTGTAAGGAACGATCACTTGGGTAGGGTAAACTACTTTATTGTCTTATGCAAAATCTCACTGGTTGAAATCATGAGCTAATTGAAGCTAGACCACCATGAAAAACCTAGAAGCGCTGAACGGTCGTTTCGTTCTAGTATGGGAATCCTCAGCAAAATCACATACCCTATTTGTACAATATGAAAACAATACATTGAATACATCATTTTCCTATCTTCCTTGAACTGCCTCATCGTTCTTTCATTCTAATTGCTATTCCAACTACTCCTGTTTTCCTTTCTCTTCTCATTTTTTTCCTTCTGTCAGTGAGAATCCTACAATCTATTTTCTGATACATACTACTTATATCTGTCTGTATAAAAAACAAATAGTACATGACAGACATTACTAACTTCGATTCAGAGCTATGTTTGTTAATATCTTAAGTCTTCAAAGTGCATAACATCATATGAGTTCCATCCATGAAGTCCCATCACGTTAATAGATGCTAACACAAGCTTCTTTATTAAATTTCAAAAAAAAAAAAATATCATCTCATATTAGAACTCCCCTCTTAGTAACTAGCAGCCATAAAAGTTTCTATAGATTCATTGAAACTAGACTACACAAAGTAAATTATAGTTAACTTTCATTTACATAAATCAGAACTCTTGTAATTGAGTTGAATAGAATAATTTTCTTATTCATTTGTCTTGTGATAAAGAACTTTTATGTATTTGTTTCCATTCAATTGAAAGATGCTATTGCACTAATGTTTGTCTGAATTGAATCATAGAAAGTATAGAATAAATGTAAACTTGCTAATATTACTGTAATATGTTAATTAGTTATGGATTGTATGTAGAATGAATAAATGGTCTTGAATGCAAATAAAGTTATAAGGGCAGTTATCACTACCCGATTGCCAACAGCGTGGAAGTGTTCTTCTATAGGTACCTGTAAAGGAAATTGGGTTAGAGTTGGTCTCAATGACCTGAAAGCGTGAATTCAGTGCCCACGGAACAACTGCTTGAAGCCAATTACATATGACCTTTTTGTGAGTAATTTGCGTTTTAGTTTCATACTTTTTTGAGACCTTAACACCGGAGATGGAAATCTGTAGGATAAGGTGACGTGTGCATTTTGCAGGGCTGACCTTTTTTAACCCCACACCTTCCTTGTGAGAAGGAAGCATCGCTGTCATACTGAGAGAAGAGTTCAGGTTATAAGAACAACTCAAAATAAACTACTTGTAACAAGATAGATAGATAGATTAAGTAGATTAGAAACAAGGTCTTAATATACGTTGATTAATATTAGTTAAATAGGAGTAATAGTGGATTAATTTTACGATTAGTAAAACAGTCTAAAGTAAATTGATTTAGTCATACTTTCTGTAATGAATAAACCCATTAATCCATTGTTTAGTGGCAGTTCAGTAGACTTTATTTCTTAACTAACATGGATTACACATAAAAATCTACATTCAGGTCCAAACTAAAGTATATATTTATACAAATAACTATTGTTATTATCAGTTTAGGGGTTGTGGAGATTGCTAAGTTTTGATTGAGATCATGAACCGACTGATGTTAGACAAACATGGAAGCATTGGACGGCCGTTTTGTCCTATTATGGGACTCCTCATCAGTGAGCAACCACGATCCCGCTCACGGGATTCGGACCCAGGGCGTTCAGTTTAGCGCGCGAACGCTTAACCTACTGGGCCAATGAGCATCGTGAGAAAATTCTCGGAGTTCTAGTGGGGAGCTGTGACCAGCGGAGTTAATCCGTGTCGGGTAGAGACAGGTATCTACCTCAATACAGTGGAAGATGGTCGCGCAACTGCGTGGATTGGTCGAGGTTACACAATAACATCATTGGATGCCGGCTCAGTGGACAAAATGGCCGTCCAGGGACTCCAGATTTTTAGTGGTGGTCTAACATCAATCGGTTCATGACCTCAACCAAAATTATTGTTGTATTGTTTATTTAAACACATAAACTTTGGTACAAAGGGGCACTGAATACATATGAGTCACGCAAATTATTGAATTATCGTATGGTTTGAGATTCTCTCTGAGTTTTCAAACAGAAGCAGGTGGTTTTCCTAGGGAGCTATACCCCAAGCTTTTGACCTAGAGGTTTAATCTACAAGGCAGTGGAGCAACGTTAAGAAATGTTGTTCCATAGTAGCCGGTGACCAACAATAGGTTCATATGCCATTTGTTCCTTCAGGATCTTGGAGCCCATGTGTACCATTTGTTTGAATTCACGGTTTTCCGATTCCTTAGGTGGATCCTCCGTATTAACCGATCCAGCCAAAGCACCCGACATTTTCTTTTCGTCCTCTCAATTTCACAAACAACACACCCGCAGATGGAATACAATGAACAGGACTTCCCTGGATGTGGTTATATACATGTGGCCATATGAGAGTGTTTCGAGAGGGAAAGCGGACTCTCCCTACTTCATACGAGGGAAATTGACGGCATCCTTATATTATGACAAATTATGAACGGTTTAATATTCCAAAAAGCCTTTTCAATAATAATAATAATAACAATAATAACAGATTGCACCACATAGAAACAAAAGGTTTTGTCTTACCTCAAACTCATTTTCTGTAGGGCACCAACAAAATTTTCTCTTGTGATACATTCATCTTGTTCTTTACGTACTTCATCAATTAGAATTTCAACGACTAAACTATTCTGTGACAAATATGCACGTCCTTGTAGACAACAAAAAACGAAGAAGAAGCAAATAATACGTTTAACATTTATGTGTTAAGAACTCTATTGACTTAACTACTCCTATGAATCCGGTGTTCATCTTGTTGTGCTAATGAGTAAGGTGTGATAAATTGGACCGATGCATATATGTGTCTGGTCTCACGTTGTTGCTGACTGACTGATTGACTGACTATTAGGATATTTGTTCAAACCTCGTCCTACTTATTTCGGTTTCAGTAGTTGAATAGTATTGATATACAGTATGTGTTTTTCAAAGATAAGTAAGTACTTAGTTTTATTATTTGTATCATGAACTGACTATAATGAGACAACCATTACAAACTAGGGGAGATAAGATGGATGATTTTTTCTTAGTATATAGCTCCTTAATCATCTACACCCTTAGCCTGACGAGCATCGGACATGGTTATTGGTTAGTATTGGGTACCCAGTTATATATCTAATAGCTTGGAGCAATAAACTAACTTCCGAGACTACATTTTCACAGTATTATCAATAATGTACAGTTAAGATTCAATAAAGGTTGATCAATAAGAGTCGGTCAATCGTGTTAGAAGGAATATTAGGGATTCAAGAAGGAAATTGATCAAAAATACAATGGTCTTGTGTGTTGTTAGAGGTATAAGAGTGGTTATCACTTCTTGGTTGCTCACACTAGTGCTAGGAAAGGAAATCTGATTAGAGTTGGTTTCAGTGACCTGAGAGCGTGACCACAGTGACGATCACACAAGACCTTATTGTGGATAATTTTTGTGTTAACTTCATATTTGTTGAGACCCTACCACCGAAGAGGGAAATCCATGGAATAAGATGAAGTGTGCATTTTTAGGATCGACCTTTTCTAACCACACCCTTTCTTGTGAGAACATAACATCGTTAGTTGTCTGAGGGAAACACCCTACCTCCTTCATACCTCTGTACAATCGACAGTACAGTTTTACCCTCGTACCTAGGGATTTTTTACTTTTAGTCTTACCGTTCTTCAACCGACCTGTCTGGTATGGTAGGACGTTGAGGAACGATTGTTCCAGTCAGTATAGCTCGATTGATTCATCATGACAGTCAAGCCTGAACACCACATCACGGTAGCAGGAACTATACCTACGATAGTTTATAAGATTATTTTTAAAAGTTATATATGATACATACACAGACACGCACACACAAACAAGCACACATTCATTTGTACAATCATAATATAATATTACCTCTGCATAAAGAAGCAAGTGCATTAATAAAACGTGCCATATATTCCCGAACACGATGATGTTTTGATTTTAAACAATAAAGTAATGGTGCATGTTTTATATCAACATCTTTAATAGATCCAATTGTTGTTAAATCAAGTATATCATTACGAACAAATGATGTTAAACAATGTTCACGTTGTGATACTTTAGATTTTGTTAATCTCTAAAAAATAAAACATAAAATAAGAAGGTATCATTGAAATGAATATTTGTTAAAATGATATAGGAATATTACATTATTATTATTATTATTATTACTATTAGTAGTAGTAGTAGTAGTGTGAGTAGTAGTGGTACTGTCAGTAGCATTAGTAGTAGTCATTCAGTCAGTAACAACGTGGAACTTTGTACGTACGTACATCAGTTCGAGTTGCCATACAACATTAGAACAGAGATTCAGTTATCCATTCAAATCCCATAGTGGTAGAGGTAGTGAAAGTATAAGTAGTGATAGGGAACATTAGGGTTTGATGATGTTATTTAAGGAGTACAATCTAGTGGAATAGATTTAGAAAGAAAATAAAGGACATGAACAATTCAGAAGATTAGAATTTGAGAGAACACAAAGAGTAAATGCACCTGCTCACACCATTGCAAACGATTTTGAGCCATGTCATTCAAGGTCTCTAACCATCGGTTGCTATCATCTCACGGTTCCCAACCAGGTAGTCTACACCTATTAACATGGCTCAGTCCACTTGTCAGTGACTTCATGGATTTGTGCTATGTTTTGGTCTGACCGCCCCTAGCTTTCTTCCAACCTACTCCTACACCATAAAACATCACACGTCGGGGCAGTCGGTGGTCTGGCATACGTAACATATGTCCCAGCCATCTCAACTAATGAAGTTTCACTACTTCATCAATTGATTTGCCATCTTTACCTAGTACCCATTTCCTAACAACTACATTACTTACTCAATGGTCCAAGGATATACGAGCAATGCTTCGAAGACAGCGGTGATAGAATAATACGAATATCCTCTACTCTTACTGGCCATGTTTCACAGCGATAAAAAAAGACGGAACGAATTGCTACACAGTAAACCCGTTCTTTGGTTGATAGACGGATATTTCGCCTACGCCACAAATAACGCAAGTTGGCAAAAGCTAGTCGAGCCTTTTGTATCCGTGCTGAGATTTCGTCACACACCAGACCACAAGGGCTGATGAGACTTCCGAGATAAATGAATCTGTCGACACGCTCAACTACTTTACTCCCTATCACTAGTTCGGGTGTCGATGTAGTAGTAGTATTAGTGTGAGTAATAGTAGTAGTAGTAGTACTGGTAATAGTAGTAGTAGTAATTTTCTTCTTACCCAACGTAATGCTTGAAGTAAATAACACTTTTTGCGATCATTCATTGTTTTAACATCTTTTTTAATTTTTTCATAATTCAAGTCAAACAATGGGGTTGAAGTATTTTCATTCCTGAAGTGATGAAAAATAAAAATAAATAAATAAATTATTTATATTAAATTAATTAATGTATTCAACCCAATTAGATTAATTATTAGTCTACAAAAAATATGGCTTTGAGCTAATGTAATGTCAGTCATATTTGGCCTATGCTCTATTGGGAGTATCAGGTGTAAGTAGCCCCCAAATGCCCTGGTACGGCTAAGAGTGGGGAGATTCCGCTCTCCCTCTCCAAATGCTCTCACATGGCCATGCGTATATAGCCTCTGTCAGGGAAGTCCTACTCACTGCATTCTCGTGGCGGGGGTGTTGTTTACAAAAATGAGAGGACGAAAAGCGAATGTCCGGCGCTTTAACCGGATCCCAAACCAATGGTGCACATGGGCTCCAGTATCCTGAGGGAACAAATGGCGTATGAACCAATCGTTGGTCACCGGCTACCATGGGACTGCATCTCCTTAAGATGCTCCACTGCCTTGTGCGTTAGACGTTCAGGTCGAAGGCTCGGGGTGTGGCCCCCTAAGAAAACTCTTGGCTTCGGTTTGGGCACCCTGGCAGTATCACAGCCCTCACACAAATCAATTTTGATTTGTGTGGCGCATATGTACTTGGCGCCTCCCTGCACCTATACTTATGTGTTAAAATAAAATAATAAAATAAAGGTGTAAGTAAATAAGTAGTATAGTTGGAGAGTATGTAATCATATTATTCTATACTGGAAGTAATGCAGTAAACAGATTAGTATATGTAACTTAAATATAATTGTGTAATATCTTAATGAGTAGAAAAATCGATAGTTAAAATTTTCTGATGTTTCGTAACTTAATGTAAGTCACTTCTTCAGAAGATAAATAAACAAACGAATAGTATTAATATTAGTAGTATTTGAACTCAAAGACCAAATTTATCATTATATATATAGTTAGATATCAAATTATTAGGATAGAAGCTTTTTATGGATATGATACAATTTGAAAAGTAGTTAACATAATGGAATGGTATAAAATCAGAAAGAATTCAGATCCTTCAGATGATACGAAACCAAAAAACAAAACGAGCTAACTAACTAAATTTGAAAATTTTAACTATTAGAATTTAGGTGCTGAAACCGCCACCCCCCCCCCATTATATGCAAAACACAATTCATATGAATGAAGAATATTCATTTCAATGAATTGCTCATCAGGTACTCTACAATTATCTCATTATCCATATTAATAATCCATAGAATTGACCAGATTTAAGACAGAGAGTACATCATTTGGAAATTGTAAATATGTGAATCAAGAATTGCTTGTTAGTCATATATAGAATCAAGTTAGATCGTTAATGTTGGAGCTGACTAATATAAAGTTTCAATAGTTGAAATCATGAGTCAATTGAAGCCAGACCACCATTGGGAAACCTGGGAGCACTGAACGGCCATTTCGTCCTATTGTAGGACTCCTAAGCTGTGGGCCTCCACGATCCCGCCTCCAGCGGGATTCGGACCCAGGACTAACTAGACCACTGAGCCAGTATCCAACGGTGTTGATGTCTAACTTCAACTTCGAATCTCTCAAGGATGGGCGTGATTGTGGATGCGGATTGCTGACGAGTCCCGTATTAGGACGAAACGGTCTTCCAGTGCTTCTAGGTTTTCCATGGTGGTTTAGCTTCAATTTACTCATGATTTCAACTATTGAAATTACCAATTCTCCACAAAACCCATTCTGATAATTTAAAGTTGTTAACTGGAATCAGTTGATAAGTGAAATGAAATTGTGAGATAAATAAGTGATCAGAATAAATATGGTCAACATGGGGTAAGAGAGAGAGAGACAGAGGAAGAGAGAATAATGGAAATACAAATCAGAGATTACGTAATATGTAGAATAATATGAATTAGGTCAGATATAGGAGATAGGGGTGCATGCTCAATAAATCTCTTAAGGAGGTTAGCAAGTGTAATAATAATAATAATAATAATAATAAGATTAGTTTTGAACATAAAAATGAACATTAATCAAATTACATCACTATATTATAATATTGATTATTAACTAGTTGGCCCCAAAGTTGGCCAGGGTAAAAGGAGTGGCTAAACATATATTTCTTTTGGATGCAAAGCTCTGGTTTTTTTATCCGAATAGCAATTGCTTCAGCCGTCTGTAGGATTCTTAGTCTGACGGAATTGGGTAGAATGTTGTGAACACGATAGATTATTGAAAAAGATTGCACTATGTGGTCTGTATGTCCTGTCTGAACTAGATGGTTAAAAATGGAGCTGTTAATTGTTTTGACTACACCTCTGCTTAACCACACGGACAGGTGTTCACTAGCCCGAATATACAAATTCCTAGAAGATCTGTCAATATAACATGCTCCACAGGAGCAGTTGAATTGATAGATACAGAAAGAGGTGTCTAGTCTAGGTAATTTATCTTTCAACCTCGAAGTGATTATTGGTCGTGTGGAGAACATTAGTTATAGTTTACCCGCAATAACAAGTCCTTTGAATTGATCTGGTTAACTTAAGTCTTAACATTTCACTTGGTGCATCGCCTCTGAATTGTAAACGTATATACAGAGGCTTTTTATTTACAGTTGAGCATTCTCTATGCTATCTTTTATTGGCTATGTTTTTATTTATAAATTTTTCCAGATATCCGTTTTCTTCCAGGGTTGTGTATGATGCCTTTGTTTCCTCTTCAGTCGTATCCACAGAACATATTGTCTTGATTCTATGATACAATGTCTTAATAAAGTTCCTTTTGTATTGTAGAGGAACAAAACTAAGAAAGTTTGTCTATTGACTTGTCAAGGTAATTTTCCTGTTTATGTTTTCTTTTAAGCCACCCATCCTTCCTCCTTATAAGTAGAACATCTAGAAAGGCTATTCTACTCCCATTTTCCTTCTCCCATATGAATTTTATGGACGGGTGAACTGTATTGAAACGCTCGAGTGTTTCTAGGAAATCTATCTGGTTTTTACAAAAGATAAATGTATCATCCATATATCGGAAGTAAAATGAAAATTTATCGATCTCTTGTGCTAGTGGGCCATTTTCTAGTTTAGAGAGAAAATGTCTGCCAATTTAGGACCCAGAGGTGAACTCATCGCGACACCATCTATTTGTCTGTAGATTTCACCATCGAATTTGAAATGTACATTCATGGTACATTTTAGTATTAATTCTTTGATGATCTTCACAGGGATTGTCGTTTCCAGTTCCTGTTCTCTAAGTCGTTCACAAATATATTCTACAGTTTTTCTAGGTGGAACATTTGTGAAAAATCATGTTACGTCAAAGGACATCATCGTTTGATCTTTCGTGTTTATGTTTTTAATCTTGTCAACGAATCAGAATACATCCTTAATACTATGTTTAACCAGGTATTTACCGAGTGGTTTTAAAGCAGTTACTAACCACTTTGCTACAGTATCATATGGGGAATTTTACATGTCCAAAATTGACCTTAATGGGATATCCAGTTTATGTATCTTCGGCAGTTCGTATAACCTAGGAAAATGAGTAACTAACGGCTTAATTGTTCCGTATATGTCTGGTGAAATTATCTATTAATCTCCGGGTTTTTTAAAGATCTGGTCACTTCATTCTCTATCTTATTATTGACATCTTTTTGGTTATTCAGTTTCTGAAATTTTTGATGATCATTAGAAATTCAGTCTCATAGTAGACGGTGACCAACGATTGGTTCATACGCCATTTGTTCCTTCAGGATAGTGGAACCCATGTGCACCAATGGATTAGAATCAGGGTTTTCCAAGTCACCTAGATGAACTCTCTCTCTCTAAAGCGCCGTACATTGGTGTTTCGCCCTCTCGATTTCTTAAACAACAGTAATACCTTGAGAAGACAGTGAGTACAACTTCTCTGTTAGTAGTTGTATGTACGTGGACTATATGAGAGCTTTTGGAGAGAGGGAGAGAGAGAGAGAGAGAGAGCTGACTCTCCCCACTCTTGGCCGTACCAGGGCATTTGGGAGCGATTGACTGTTTGTTTTTAATCTTCTTGTATTATATCTCCTGTAATATTATAAAAAAATTTACTTGTTCAATGTTTATTTTCGTAACCTTCCGCTAGTGAGTTGTGTTCTTTTTAATTCACTCTGGTAAACTATTCCATGTTGTTATAAATGTTTATAATCATGGCAACCACATCCATCTTTAAAACGAAATAAGCTTATCATAATGTTTCTTTTTACTAAAGCTAACACAGCAAATATAGTCAAATAATATGAATCAATAGATCATGTGGATTCTCTTCAGATGCTTACAAACTAGGTAAAAATAGTATAGTAATGTACTACTGATGTCGACACATATATAAGTAGTATGTATCATCAATCAAATGTAAAATGCCTGGAAGCAGAAGTCTACAAATGATCAATGAGAACAGAGAATGATTAGTATGGAAAAGATATATTAGTCATGTCTGAGACAATTGATGGATATTTTACAAATGAAGTATTTCCTGTATGATTGTTAGATTTTACCAAGAGATTCTGTAATTTCATGTTCAAATACATTAAATCGTCTCCACTTGTGATCTCAATCACTACAGTAATAATTATTAGAAATAAACTAGTACATATATATACTGCAGACCAAGAAGATCTTATATTCAACTGACTTCAACACCTAGATATAGAATAAGTAAGTGCCAGTAATTGTTATTTATTTATTTAAACACATAAACATTGGTACAAGGAGACAACAAATAGATATGCGCCACATAAGTCACTTGATTTGTGTGTGGGCTGTAATACTGCCTAGGTGTATAGACCGAAACAGATGCTTTCCTTAGTAGCTCACACTCGGAGCCTTCAACTTAATGATCTGATCCACAAAGCAGTGGAGCATCGTACGGAGATACAGTCTCATGGTAGCCGATGAATAACAATAGGTTCATACACCATTTGTTCCTTCAGGATACTAGAGCCCATATGCACCAATCGATCAGAATCAGAGTTTTTCAACTCCTCAAGGTAGATCTTCTGTGTCAACC